TAGTGTTCTGAATCCACCGCAGACAGCGATTTTCAGCAAAGTTCAGATTACTGAACAGGGCTCCAGCTGAAGCCAAACTGATGGGGTCTGCTTGTTGGGGGAGCTTTCAGATATTTTTTTCATTATTTTATTACCAGTTTACAGTTGCCTAGTGTAGTTCACCCTGTAGCATCATGGCTCTAACCTATGGTGAGAGCTAGGCTAGCAGGTTTGTTAACAGTGCTTTCTGTCACTTTCAGAAATCTTGTGGAAAGTTTCTAGAGGTCAGACCCTGTAGGCTGAGGACAGGGTTGACTTCTGGAGCTCCTTTCTAAGGGTTGCAAATACCACCTCGAGAGAATGGAGGTGGTCTTCTCCTCAAGTCTGCCTCACAGGCTGTGGACCATCTTTGTTGCGTTGTAGCCAAGAAGGGAACAGTCTGGTTCTCCTTCTCATCGTAGTCTGTGCCAGCTCTTCCCTGCAGCAGCAGTGGTTGGGATGGGGAGCGGCAGGGTGCTGCGCTGAGGGACTTGCTCTTGCTTCTCTAGACATACATGATGTGGTGCTGTAAATATGCTGCATGTGGAAAAGCACTTCACTTTGCAAGTCTCCCATCCCAAATTGGAAAAAGAATTATTATCCCATTTATTCTTTTCTGTCTGTTTACAATAAACAAAGGTGATAAAGAAATGCTGGCATACATTGCCTATCCACCGCTAAATCTAAAGAGTAGAGTTTATATAAGACCTCGGGTTATTAAAAATCCTTCCACATGCTCCATCCTGTCCTGAATTAATCTGTCTGTGGGAGCTTTGCTTCTGGGTCACATCTGTAGCTGAATCAAGAGAGTTGTCCTAAATGTCATTAGGTTTTTATTGCAGCTGCTTTTAAGGAAAAAACCAAAACAAACCCAAACAACAAAAAAGTGCAAACCTCAACCGAATCAGCACAAAATTCTACCTTTATCCTCTTGACTTTCTGAATTAACTCTTAATTCAGCTCAAGAGATATTAATCCTGTATCCTAAACAATGCCTGGTACTGTCTGGCTTTTCAATTAAAACTTAAAAGTTAATTAAAAAGTTTTTAATGAAAAAGTAGTGAAATGACCCACTGACACTCGTGTGTTAGCTCTCCCCCAGGTTTCGCAACCTCGGGCGATCCCTCTCTGCAAGTTGGGAGAGCTGTGTCCCTGAGGCACTGACACGAAGTTAAATTGTCTGTAAAGACGGAAAGGACCCAGCCAGGCTGCAGAAGGCTCTGATTTATGGGGAGCCAGCGCCTGATAACTCTTTTGAGGTCAGCGCAGTCTGTGTGGGAAAAGGAACAGGAAAATGCTTCAGCCTCTTCGACTCTCCCTTCTGCTGAAGGCAGGAGGGGTCTGCAGTGTTGGTACACGTATTAACAAAGTATTTGAAATGCTGAGGGTTGCCCGTGTTCCCCATATTACCATCCCTTCATTTCCTTAACCTCTCCAATGCAGGTAATCCTACACATGGCCAGATCTTGGATGTGCTCCAGCAAAGCACAGGGTCTTTAAAAAATGCCCTGATATGCAGGGGGTAGCTACAAGAACTAATGCCCAATCCTTGTGTGTCAGTGTTGCCTCCCCATGTGTTTGTGAACTGAGCTAAGGTGCTTTGCTGGGCCTGGGCAACTGTGGTGGTGCTTTGTCTGGATTACTTGTTCTTTTTTATCACGGTCAAACCACCTGTGGGTTACCCCCAAAGAACAACTTTGATTTTCCTTGTACGAGGAAAGGGAAAAGTGAAGAGTGGTGGATCAAGAGTAGAGCAGAAGCTGGAGGAATACGTGCTGAGTATCAGGATGGCTGAAATGTCACTGCAGTCTCTGTACCCGATTGTCCCCACTGACTGGAGGTGGCTCCCTCCTCCCTGCTGTGGGCTGCTGAGTCACTGCTCAAAGGCGCTTGGTCTTTGCCACTGTACCGTAAACAACTTCAGGGGAATCCAGGCCGCCTGACTGGCCCTAGTGCCACATTATTGGTGCTTTTTAAAATTTATTACTGCAAAGAAGTTTGCTACGAACACCAGAGCTCACAAGCCAGTGGAAGCACAGTGTGTTTTTGGGATATTTTTTACACACTTTATGTTGAAGCAGTGAGAGCAGCATGGGTGCGCTTCCAGTGGGATGTAGAGAGCAGAGCTGTTATCAGCTGTGTGTGTCTCTGTTCTTCTTGCTGGAGTCAGATCACAGACATAGTCTGGTGCGTTGTGATGTGCTGCAGGTGGGAAATAAATAATTGTGATTTGTGGGAGGGTAGAGCTGAGCAGAGAGGAGGGCGGTACAGAGCTTCATGAGATTGCAGGTTTTCCCCCTAGTTATTTTGTTGTTGATTGCCGTTGTTCTGAGACCGTATTGCCCGTGGAAATAAAAGGTTTGTTGTGAGTGTAGGTGTCTGTCTCCATGCTCAGCACAGGGCAGTGGGAGGTGACACAGTGACTGAGTCCCTGCCGTGCCCCCTGTCTGCTGGAGCAGGACAGGTCAGTGCTGCGTGTGGAGCCCATTCCTGACGCGCTGTGGATCAGCCCTGGCCCACGCTGCTCGGGATTTGCTCTCTTTGGGTCCGGTAACCTCTGCCTTCCCTTCGGGTTCCTGGCTCTTCTTTTCCATTGCCCTTACTTTGCAATGCTGGTTGCGTCCTCCTACGTCATAGAGCTCCGGTTTGTTTTAATGGCCTGAGCTGCATTTAAAAAAACCATAATTTGTTGTAGTGAAGCATCACTTTCAGAAGGGTACTGAGTCTTGAACTGTCAGTCACTGCTCACAGAGCTGAACTTGCTCGGGGTTTGTTGGCATGCATCTGGTGCCTGAACATTTTCACAAATGTAGTAACGCTTTATTAACTTTGATTGCATTTTGAATCAAGACTTTGTGGTGATCCTCAAGTGGTTGGTGAATGGCCTGATGGCTTTTAACCCTTCCCCTGAGGAATTCTGTGCGTCGTTTCTCTTTGGAGTTTCTGAGCACGTTACCGAGCTGGATGCACATCCAAGCAATTTAAAGGCATTTATGAAGAAAAGTTCCTTTAGAACTGTTCCCTGAGATTCCTTTGCTCACACACTAATATCTTCCAAAGTTATATGGGCTGAGAAGATGAGATTTGCATCCCACCCCTGCCAAAAGCCCTACGTTTCCAGTGCTGTCTTGTACTACAGCCTCCACTGTTGTACACAAGTCTCCAGGAGTGGGGCCATCAAGTTTTGCAAAGCAACAAGGTGTTTTGGGGGAGCGGACAGAGAAACCTCACTCCCATGCCCACCTTGGGCTCCACTGACCCCTTTTCACAAAGTTCATCGACACAGGAATAGTTTCCACCATGAAAGATTAAAGCGGCGCTGCCCTGAGTTGCACAACCCTCTGATGCCAGTTCAGTGCTTTTGCCAGGGCTCCACTCCTGCTTCATTTGCTCTCACTGCTGCCAGTGACCAGCAGTGCCTGTGCTGTCTCTCCTGTTCCTGCCAACTTGCTTTTTGGGGTTTTTTGTGGGGTCTTTTTTGTGTGTGTGGAGATCCTTCTCCCTCCTAGGAGGTATCAGTGCGAGCAGGTGCAGCTGCTGGCCCCGCTCCACACACAGTCGCACTTCAGCATCTCAGTGGGCCAGAGTGGACACTGCTCAGGATTAAAAACAACTCAGCAAAGTAAAGAATGTGTTTGGTTTTGACTTGGATCAGTTCCTGACACTGACCACTGCGTGAATCCATCAAAAGTTGTGGAACAACCGAGGAGGTGTCTTGGAATGGGAAGCTATTGATAGGAGACTGGAGTAGCACCAAGCCCCACATTCACAGGGGTTGGGAAGGCTTTAAAAGGACAGGGACAGCTGCTTGGAGTGCTTTAGAACTACTGCATGCAGGGAGAAAGGGAACAAATGGATTTTACAATGTTTTTGTTTCTATTCTGATGGGAATGAACAGGAAAGTTTGATTAATTAAATGAGGGATTTGCAGGGAAAGGGCTCCCAGCACTGCAGTACTTGATAAAATGTTCAAATAATTTTTGTTAGGAGCAAGGGAGTAACTGAGTCTTTGTTAATGGTTTCACAGGGTTCTGTTCTGTGGCATCGCAAGCTTTGGGGTCTGCCCCGATCTCGTTTTTACGTTCTTGGTATCACACCCATCTTAGGTTCTTCTTCTGCATTTACTTCTTTTTCCTCTTGTAGTTTTCCCCTGAAGCAAATCACTTCCCTGTCACGTACTCCGCAGTCCATGCATGACTGGGATCAGCAGTGCTGTTCTTTCTCTAAGGAAGAAATCGGTCCGTATTTTACACTCGCGGTTTCTCTAACCGGAGCCCACTGTCTCGTTTTTAGGATGCCTACAGATTTCTCCTAGCTAAATGAAAACAAGCAAACCTGTCAGCATCTTTGGATGTCTGTGCTCGGTTGTTTGCTTTAACATGGCTGTGTGGCTAAAGTTAGGATGCCAGGCTTGGAAAGTGAGCTCATTTAACTGTAGTTATATTTGTTGTTAGTAAATTACTAGAGTTACTGTAGACTGCAGATTGTTGGTACAAAGTAGAACAGCAGGCTTTGGAGAGCACGAAAATGAAATAAAATTAATGTAAGAGAAAAAGTGTTAGATGGAAATGGACAAGCAATCCAGAGCACTTGCACAAAACGGAAAGGGGAGCTGGGCTCGGGTACTCGAGTTTGGTTTCTTTTTCTTTAGTTTCAGTCTGGTTTCGGACTTTGCTATCTCGTTCTCTGATGAATAATGCCCGCGTGGTGTGTTTTGGTGATGTGCTCGGTGATGCAGGAGCGTCAGGGGAAGGAGGAGCTCACAGCAAAGCTCCCACAAGTGGTGCCATTCTCTGGAAACGCCAGCTGGGTTTTGTAATCTCTTCTGCAATGTAGGTCAGGCAGCTGCTGCTCCTGCACAGCACGGCCCTCTCGTCTTTCCACCTGCCCCATTAAGTTTCCAGGTGTCCTCTTCCTTCCCGTCTGGAGGAGGTAATGCTGGAGCCGTCGCTCACATGTTGTGTCCTCCTTTTCGTTCCTAGGGGACGGTCTTCACTTTGGAATCCGAAGAGGAAGAGTACCCCGGGCTCATCGCAGAGGACAGTAACGACATCTACATCCTGACCAGTGACAACTCGGGACAGGTGAGCCCCCCGGAGTCCCCCACAGTGACCACGTCGTGGCAGTCGGAGAGCCTGCCCGTCTCCCTGTCGGCGAGCCAGAGCTGGCACACAGAGAGCCTGCCGGTCTCCCTGGGACCCGAGTCCTGGCAGCAGGTGGCCATGGATCCCGAAGAAGTCAAAAGCCTGGACAGCAACGGAGGGGCTGAAGAAAGGAGCGAGAACAACTCTTCCAACTCGGATATTGTTCACGTGGAGAAGGAAGAGATACCGGAGGGGATTGAGGAAGCAGTGGTGTCAGCCGTCGCTGCAGAGACCACGCAGGTGGTGTTTCCAGAAGCCCCAGCTTCTTTACAGGAAGCAAAAGCTCAAGCTAAAAGCGCTGCTGTTGAAGAAGCGCATCCCTCCACGCTTCTGCGTACAAAACAGGAGGAAAAGGGAAAGGCGGCTGAAGAGCTTGTTGAACCTGAAATCCCTGTATTAAGTAAACCTGTCCCAAAGTTAGCCCCATCAGAAGAAAAGGCTGCACCCGAACCTGAGAAAATACTGCTTCCAGGGGAAAAAAAAGTGGGGAAAGAGGGTCGTTTGGAAGAAATCGAAGAGAAATCCTCCGCTGCGGAGGAGAAGCCTATCTTATTGCCCGAAGGGAAATCTATATTGCTGTACGGTGGGGCTGCTGCGGTGGCTATATTGGCTGTAGCAGTCGGAGTAGCGCTGGCGCTTAGAAAAAAATAATGGAGCTCTCCTGAGGAGGAGGAGGAGGAGGGGGGAGAGAGGAGAGAGCACGATCCGATTTTTGTAGTTGTGTTACCTAAAGGTTGAGCTACCTGCTGTTTAATTGGACATCTGAGTAACTTAACGGTGACGGGGTGAGGTTGTTCAATAAGCCTCCAGCTATGGACAATCACGTTTTTAGTAGAACTGGGGCGGGGACTGGTTTTTCGTGATTAAAGTACAGGGGTATTTTTAAAAAAAAAAAATAAAAAAAATTCTGCAAATTTAAGAACTTAAGTGCAGGTGCTGAAGAAAGGGGTGCTTGTACTCTAGGAACTGGAACAGAGAAGCCCCAGGGGAAGGGGAGAGCCAGCTGCTGCCAACCCCTGGAGTTTTTGGCTTCTCAGACTGACCGCTGTTGCAGCTGTGCTGTCGTGTCACTTCCCGTCACGCCCCCCGGTCCTCCCTCCCAAACATTAGCCCACCTGAGTCCTGTAGCGAGAGGCTGGGCTCCCTTTTGTCTCGGCTTCCTCTCAGGTACAGCACTGCTCCTCGTAACCTCGCAGGTTCCTCCTAAGCCCCAGTGGGAGAGTGCTTATTCTTACCTCTTTGCTCCCTCCGGTTTCGGCCCCTAACATTTACTGGAGCCCCATCCTGTAAAGATGCTGCCTCTCTATAGCTGTATTATCTCTGAGCATCCTGGTGTTCCTGGGGGAGAGGTGCAGGTCCGTGCTCCACAGCCCAGGAGAGGGGGAGGACACTGCCATTTGCTGGTTTGAGAGTCTATTTGCTGCGCTCCTGCCTGGCCCACTTTTCTGCCACCACCCTCGGGTGACCAGCGGTGCAGAATCCCTGCTGGACATGGTGCCGTTCCCATCAGCGCTCTGATTCCAAGGTGTATTCTGCAAAGATACAGCAAAACTGCGTGGAGGAGAGGCTGATGCCTCCTGTGCAATTCAAAGGTTAAACGCTACGCTGTCCTGTGTCACGCTGCAGCCTGTATCAGCTTTGCCACATTAAGCACAGAGTATATTTAGATCTGACTTGGTCTTGGCTGTGACAGAATCCCAGATACGTAAAGCAGTGGATTCTGGTAACTGAGCAAAACAGCATCAAACTTCTCCTCTGTCTGCCTGTTCCTGACCTGACCCGGATCCGGTGGTGTTCGGTGCAGTTGCTGTGGTGACTCTTGAATCTGTAATGCGCTAAACTTACAGGTTCACAAATGATGAGAAAGTTACTTTGGAAAAAAGTAAATCCCTCTTCCTGCAGTCACCACTTCCCATGAGCGTGTAGAGAACCCCTTGCAGTGTCGCCGTACGCGTTGGTTACATTGGATCCGACGGCAAGCGTTCCTCTTCCAGCACGCATTGCTGTGTCCCTGCGTGTACGGCAGCTCTGGGGCCAGACCTTGGGCTCTTCAGGCACAAGTACTGATGCGTTGCTGAGAGTCTGTGCTGTGGCTTAGAGCAGATGGAGGGAGGCGAAAGGGAACGCAGGATTGTGTAAAGAGGAAAATGTGAGCTTACGGGGAGCTTACTCTTCATGAAGCACAAAGGCAAGGTACTTTATTTCGAAATAACCTTATCCAGAGTACGTTTCCTCATGAGCCTGTTCTTAAGTGAGCTGAGAATGAAGAGATCTTTTTTTAGCACATTCTCTTATTTTAGGGTATCCTTGCTACGTTTTTCCAATCCCACCCAAAGCCCAGGCTGCTGGGAAGTCAGTAAGAACCTGGCAGATTCTGAGGAATTTTTTGTTGTTTAAGCTTTTTTTGAGTGGATTTTTTATTTTTAGAAACCTTGGATTTTAAACTGTGTGTGTGAAGTTGAGTAAGGAGAGGAAGGATTGTCACGTATGTACTGCTGCTGTGGACTGAACTCAGGAGCTCTGGAGTTCTGGGCTTGACTGTTGATCACTGATTGCTCTTTTTTCTGTGTACAAACAGTAGCAGGTTGGCCTTAACAGAAAAAAAACACCACACAGCAAACCCACACCTTTACTGCATTGCAAAATGGAATTGACTTTTTTGCCATTTCCTGGTGCCCTGCTGGTACTGTCATTGCTGTGTGCCCAGAACACGTCACTGGGCCCTTCTCACGCCGTGGACTGTCCGGTGTCTGCCTGCCCGCCACTGCAGTGTCCTCTCCTGGCCCCCTACGGGAGCTTCCCCTGCGTGGAGAGGAGGAGAGGTGTCTTTGTGCTCCTTTTGTCTCAGACGTGTGCGAACATTTCCAGTTTGGCTTCATTTCATGCGTTGTGAGTGTTTATGGACAGGTGACACAAGGTGTTGCTGTGTGGCGAGGGCTGCTTTGCTGCCTGATAAGGTGGGTAGGCCGGCGCCTCTCCTGCTGCTGTGCTGACTGCAGCTCTGGGCATGTTCTCTGGGAGAAGGGCCGTTCTTAAGCCGACATCTGTCCTGCCCGTACTGAGGATGGTGCATGCCTGCGTTTGGGACATCCCCCACCTGTAGCCATGCAGTGGGTTACACCGGACACCCACATGCACTCCAAAGCAGAGGCAGATTTTTTGGACACTGGATAACTTGCGTACTAAGTGGAGGGGAAAGTGTGCCAGGTGGTCTTGTTTCTGTAGAAGGGGGGGAAATGGGTACAGGACTGATAAGAATAAATCTGCACCAGCTGGGGAAGAAGCCCTGAGCTTGTTGGCACAAGACACCCAGTGGGGCATTAAACAAAAAGTGATGTCTTCCACTGTGACGAAAAGAGACTCTACTGCAGAG